GAATTTATTAACAAGTGACTGTTTGTACCTTGGTATTCGTGGAGGTATAAATCCGTAACACTAATTTATGAAATTAAAAATATCTCCTCAACGATTGGCTTTAGCCATTTTCAATAAGTATACCTTTTTTGTCCAAAAAAATCCAATATTTTGTTACTAAAAGTTGTATACGGGGGTTGGCAAAAAAGTTACTATATATTCAATACATAACGTTGCCTGCAGAGGGCGCCTCGTACTCAACACTCAAAAATCATTCATTCATATTTCCCATCATTAAAAACCTCTGTTGAAAATTTGAAACATTTCTGACTACAATCATAGACATTATTAAGGAAAAACCATTTTTTATTTTTCACTTTGACGCCCCGTATCTTTTTTATTATGCGATATACATATGCTAGGTTAAATCGACTTATTTTCATCTAAGGAATCTCTGGTATCATTTGTGCCCCTCTATTTAAATACACCCTGTAGAACAAGAAAATCCTTCTAAACTATAAAAATGTTGAAATACGAGGATTTCTTTAATTTTTCGCAGTGAAAGATCACGGAAAATATGGGCACTTATGTAAACATCCTCTTTTGTGGAGGATATTGTAAAAATACTCAATAATTGTAATTAATTCATGTGTTAATAGTTTGTATTATTACCTAGTACAGTGAAGAGTAGTGAGGAAATACTTGTTTTCGCATACATGCTTCAAATTGTTAATATGAAAAAAAAAAGTTTTGTTATATTTCCTCTTCCAATAAAGAATACTTTGACGTCCTTTTATTTGTAAGTATAAAATGGACGTAATTTCTATATTAAAAACATTTTTAACTGTGTTGGGGGAAGAGAGTTCAGAAACTTGTTTAAATATTGTAATTTGAAATCGACCCATATTAACTTCAGGTATGCTTCAGGAACTATATTCAATTTTTAATGAAATACCCTTTTTCCTGTTATTTTGTTACATCTATATAGGTAGTATAACCTTTTAATTAGGCAGGAGTCTTAAAAAAGAACAAATATTGTTACTGAATACAAAATATTTAACCACAAATTCTTTTTATAGCATTTATCATGTTGTTCTAACTACCTTAAAATCGCATGTGTTGGCAAATACATGTGATGATGCGGCTAATTACCGAAATGGCATTGAGAATTATACCGTAGTTAATTAAACAAATTAATAGTAACAAATCAGATAAAATTTAAAAGAACAAACAAATGCGTTTCACACTAATAAAAGTGTATCTCCCTTTTGGTGATAAAAAAAAGTTGGCGGGTCTTAACTAGAAAATTTAATTGTCCACTCAGTTTTGACAGAACTTACTTTTAGCTTAGTTATTAATGACAGAGCTACGCCAAGTGAGAACGAAAAAATAAAGCAGCACTTACACGAAAGCAAACAATAATTAATTTATGAAGCCATGCCAAACAACACAATTTCTAATGAAAATATTGAAGTTGATTCTCTAGATTGTAATTACGTTACCAATTACTGGTAGAGTAGTAAGTGGTAGGTGCTTTAGATAGATATAAATCTGTATTTCACGAATAAATGAATAGCAATTATTTCACTTTTATCGTATAATCTCGCACGCTATTCCGAAAAAGTCTTTTAACTATCTACAATGTGGATATTTCTATATTTATGGAAAATATATTATTTTTTATCAGTTTAATGATTTATTATATCTCACTAGTATTAAGTGAAGAATTTTCTTGCTGATGTTACTGGGAAAAACATATTCATTTAACAATGAAGGTTACTTTGCACAGCATAACAATAATATATATTTTTTAAATTAATCCTGACATTGGCAATAAAAATTTTTATTCTGATACAATATAGAGATAGAGATCTGAAATATTTTAATCAAAACTTATACACCACATTGTCCTTGTACAGTTAGCTTAGGAACAAGTATAAATATTTAATATAATATGCTGATTGATAACAACCAACATTAATATGAAAATAAAACAATGTGCTTTTATGTAAAATTCCTTAGTAAAAAAACAGCACAAACTATACAATCTGCAGTGTGTTTCAATTGTAATTACAGGGCGTGAAAATAAAAAAGTGATTTCGGCATTTAAATTGAAGAATATTGAAGACTTGTTTTTGGTATAACAGGGGGCCTTTCGATTTGGCAAAATTAGTAGTTATTAGTAGCTAATAGCAACTTAAGAATTACTCTGCACTGATATTAGTTGCCAATAGGTAAAATATTTGTCAAAACGAAAGCCCCGCAGGTTAGGCCAGGAAATATAGAGTTGGGCGCGACTTTTTGTTTCGGCAAGCTGAATTTATCACTATAGATGCTAAATATTATGTACAATAACATATTAGTTTCCACAGTCATAAAAATGGGGGGAAGATTGTTTACAGGGTGGTTAATTGCATAATTTTTACGTAAATTCACGTTTTTCACTTATAACTTTTTCCGTTCAAAAGACCTACAAAACTAGCCCTCGAGTGTAAAAAAATATTGATTTGATCAAAAGTTATAAACAGAAGAAATTTATTTATGACTTTTGAATTAAACATTTATAAACTGCATTATTATAACCAGAACGTTTTGGCATCGCATCCTCTCATTCCTTATCACTGTCTAATAATTCGCACGAAATCTGGAATCGGTAAGTTGAATAGTTTACAGGTTATGGCCTTATAAACAAATTTACTAATAATTAGTCTGGATGATCCGGAGGATCTTCCACAATCGCACTGATTTTTTTCATGGTAGATTTCATAATAATACACTGACATCTATCATTTTTTTTTCTAATTTCAAATTTGCAACCTGGATTTTTTTTTATTTTTTAGCCTTAGCTGCAAAATGAAATATACGACGCACGAGCGTGATAGTTATATCGAGCGTCTGTAGTTATATATTATTATATACCTATTCGGAAAGCTTATGAAAAATGCTATAAGTTAAAAAAAAATCGTCAAGATTCGTTGAAAAACAACGGAGTTACAGACTGTCAAATATATTATTTTCAAGCGAATTTCGCTTATTTAACGGCAGAACTATGAATATTATCGTCATTTTCTTCGGACTCGCTGTCGTTCGCTTCCCCTACCCTTCCGCCGCGCCAAGGCTCGCCGAAAATCAAGCGACCCATTGACTTTTGACAATATTTCTTATGCACTTTACATACTTCCACAAATAAAATATTTTTACCTGGGAAAGTACTCGGGTTGCCGGTAATGACAGTATTTTTTTTTGGCCGGTAATGACAGTATTTTTTTTTGCCCGCTACCAACCTAATTTGTTTAACAATAGGCCATCAACTTTGACAGTCTATAACTCCGTTGTTTTTCAACGATTCTTGACAATTTTTTTTTTTACTTAAAGCTCTTTTCATAAGCTTTCCGAATATGTAATAATATATAACTATATCACGCTCGTGCGTCGTATATTTCATTTTGCAACTAAGGCTAAAAAATGAAAAAAATTTCCAGGTTGCAAATATGAAATTAAAAAAAAAATGATAGATTTCAATGTATTATTATGAAATCTACCTTGAAAAAAATCAGTGCGATTGTGGAAGATCCTCGGGATCGTCCAACTTACCAATTCAAGATTTCGTGTTATTAGACAGTGATAAGGAATGAGAGGATGAGATGCCTAAACATTCTGGTAATAATAACGCAGTTTATAAATGTTTAATACAAAAGTCATAAATAAACTTCTGTTTATAACTTTTGATCTCGTTAATATTCTTTGACGCTCGAAGGCTAGTTTTGTAGGTCTTTTGAAGACGAAAAAAAAAGTGCTTTACTGTTTTCTCGTGGAAATGAACGGAAAAAGTTATAAGCGAAAAACGTGAATTTACGTAAAAATTATACAATTAACCACCCTGTAAACAATCTTTCCCCCATTTTTATTACTGTGGAAACTAATATGTTATTGTATATAATATTTAGTATTTATAGTGATAAATTCAGCTTGCCGAAATAAAAAGTCGCAAAATGGTCATTTTCCAACTTATTTTCCTGGTCCAAGGTGTTTTAAATAAAAATGTACCAATCTACCGAACACATGAAGATATCGAAAATAAATTTTTGAATTAGAATATAAAAATAAATTGGCATAGATATCAGTTATGCTGGTTATATTTTCCTCAAAAATTATAGCGTACAAATAGGGAAAAATGCTTTTAGAAATGAAAATTTTATCTTGAATGACAGTCATCTCTCAATTTATTTTGTTTGATTTTTTTAGCTTTAGTACAAATTAGTAATTATTTATCAACGCTACTGCTTTCAACAGGGATTTAATTTTTGTCATATATAATGCCATTTTATTCATACAATATGTATTTTACATTTTTTATATACGCCATTATATTATACTCTGCACATTATTTTTATATTGAAAAATAATTTAAATACTCATCAAAAAATCTATGGTAACCGAAGCCCTTCATAATTTGTTTAATATTTTCAAAAAGTTGTTTTGTAGGTGTTTTTATATGACAATAATTGCTATTTTCTTTTATAAATATAGAATTATATTAGGTACTATTTCTTTTTTAATCAAATTTTAACGCGTAAGTACAGGGCGTAACAAAAACACTTGACCAAAATTTAATGGTAAAAAACTACAGGACGTTACAAATTAATTAAAATATGTGGTTGATTTTAAACGACAAAAAAAAGCAGTGCTAATCATGTTAATAATGTTATGGGTTTTACTTAATTCCTGAATAACATTAATAATAAATAAATTACTAATTAATAAGTAAATCCATAAAACAATTGTGGTATGTAGATATATTTATGAAAAATTAAAGAAAGCCAATAAAACAAATTTTTTTAACTTAAAATTTGGCCAAGCGTTACACCCTAAGTAAATATATAGCTTAAATAATTACTTGAGACTGCGAAGATAGAGGATAACCCAAATGTTCCTCGATAGGACCATAACAAATGGCAACAACAAAAGAACAATCTAGGGAACCAATTCAAATTGGCTTTCCTACGTTTTTTTTATCATACCAGTTCAGTTTTGGTGCCGGACATTTTTAGCCCTCTTTGTCGACATTCGTTCTTCAGTTGTTCTTTAGTCAGCGACAACAACTCGTCAACTGATTTAGATCTACTGGCAGAATTGCTTATATTGTTTGAACTACTAGAAGCGAGGCTGGATACATTTTTTATGTTCTGCTTATTCACTGAGGATTTTCTAGTTTTCCTACCAGACATTTTTGCTATGTCCAATCTTTAAGAAAAATTGATATTAATTCTGCTAAATATGTAAATTAGTAGGTAATGTTTTAAGTTCGAGGAAATACATACATAAAAAATTTAATTTAATAATGATTATTTGTAATATAACTGAAAATGAACCGAAGCAAATATTTTGTTACTCTACATTGAGTAATACTTAATAAAAATATTAATTTCTAAGTTTTGCAACCCAACTGCAGAACAATGAATTTTTAATTAAATAAAAGCAGTCACTATATCAAACACACATCAAGATAAAAGTATTAAGAATAAATTAAAATATTATCTTTCTCAGTGAACTATAAATTAGATAATTAAACAATCTACCGTTTTATAAAAGTTCATACATCAGTACATCACATTAATTGGATTAAAGGTTGAACTAAAATCCAGTAATACGCCGCCAATAACCAGTTATTTTCAATAACCAGGTATAAGCAAACAAAGGCAGAATTTAAATAACGATTTTGCAATTTTGAATATTCCCTGCCAATGTAGAACTATTCCCTTGTGATGTGTAACAATTCTTGCTGACCAGTATCTGCGGTTTTTCCCAAAAAAATTGATTTTCGTATTATCTGTGTACATCTATTAAATAAAAAATAAGTGCGAAAAGGAAAATATTCCAATCAAAGTACAGCAAATTAATTAATTAAAAGGATATGCAAACGAAATCTAACCTAAAAATTGAAAAGTCGGAGGGCAAAAGTAACTGAATGCTAATAAAATAAACATAAACCTAAGTTAAAATAATTATATTAGAAACACTCACCTCGAACTATACTTCAGGAAATACTTAATATTAAACACATTACAGTTAATATAATAAGTTTTATTAAACAGAACTTGTAAAAGTGAACACTGTCGTAGAAAGTGTCACCCCATTTTCTGTAATACACGTCATTATTAGGAAATTAAGACAGTGAGATATAGGCAACCTTACATACTGACGGGAGTATTATTGGTTGCCCTACAACTGTATTGCTTCTTTCTAAATTCATTTTATATACCAGGGTCGTAGTTAGAGAAGGGTAAGAAAGGGCATTGCCCTGGTTAGCAAAATGTCTGAAATATAAGTTTGTAGAGAGTGAGTAGACAACTACTCAGTTCTCAGATTCATACTGCCTTATAGGAAAGGTAAAATATGTCGCAAGGAAATAATTACAGGCAGTGCCTGAGATATAAAAATACAAAATGAAATAAGAATGCCACGTTAGTTGGAAGATATATTACAATTTGTTAAATAAAGATTAAT